TCTCTCTCTCTCTCTCTCTCTCTCTCTCTCTCTCTCTATCTCTCTCTCTCGTTCTCTTCTCCCGTTCTCTCTCTCTCGTTCTCTCTCGTTCGTTCTCTCTCTCTGGTTTCGCTCTCTCGTTTTCAATCTCTCGTTCTCTCTCTCTTCCTCTCGTTCTCTCGTTTTCGATCTCTGGTTCTCTCTCTCTTCCTCTCGTTCTCACTCCCTCTCGTTCTCTCACGCCCCCCCCCCCCTCTCTCTCGTCCTCTCTCTTTCATTCTCTTCATTCTCTTTTAAGCTTCAATTCTTAAAATCACATCTTCCTTTGTATTCGATGCTTCTTTTTTGTTATCACAGATACTCGCTTTTAGGCAGGATGGATTTAAAGGAATGGAGTCTCGTACCACTTACAGTGCATTTCTTTAGTTCCTTTAATTATGAGTAATTGTTTGATTTGTTTCATTTCTGTTTGTATTATGCTTCTTCTCGTTGCAATCGTAATGCATGTCTGCATTTTTCAAAAAAAAAATATCTTGCCGATCATCGTCACAAAAGGTTGAGTGGTCCACCACTATGACAGTGAAGCCATTTTCAGCTGGACTTGATCGGTTTAGATATTTTTTTGGGATATGCAGATTGTATTGCTTTGTTACAGTAGCTGTTCAATTCAACGCTTATATTGCTGACTTCCCCGACACGCTAGCAGGGGAAGCGGGGTGGATAGTGGGGGGTAGTTAGTTGTTAGTATAAATTTAAAACTTCAAATATTCATGAATTCGTTTGATGAATATGAGAAATGCAATTATCGTTTGGTCGGTCATTGCAGTTCTCCACAGATTCTCACTTTTCTAAATCATGCGCGTTATAAAAAGCGATGTAGAGTACCGTAGCAATGACCAGCAAATGGCGAGAAACCTAAACAAGTACGTACGGTATCATTATTAAGAGATTGTCAAGTTCATTAGTACCCTAAACATCATTTTCCAGTTATTTCACAATATTTTTGCAAATAATTAAAAATTTCCTTTTTTTTTTTTTTTTTTTTTTTTTTGCTTTAGGTAGATTGCAAAAGGTTGCTTCGCAACCCAAAAAAAAATGTTAAAACTCCGAAGTGTACTTGCTGGACACGCCCTGATGCTCGACGAACCAATGGGGACGCTTCAACTCCCTCCAATTTCGGCGATCGATCGTGCAATTCCGATCGGCCACCGTACTGAGAACCTGTTTTTAGCACTCAAAAAACTCCAGACCGTTTTAAAAGCCGTCAAAATTCGACCTGCGCAGGATCGATCGCGCCAATGTGATGCGAGTTGACGCGTCCTGATTTTGCCATACCTTCACTAATGTAACCATAAAAATGGAAGGCTGTGGCGTAGGCACGTTATGTTTTTCAAAGCGCCATAGCGTCATCTGCCAGGAACCTTTTTCTGATTTTTCTTTTTCATAGACTAAACCGCAAAAGCATGCCCAACGAGGTCTGGAAACTTCTGCTGTGATGCCACGAAGATTCCGCAGAAGCGCGCCGAGCCGTCGGTCTGCATGCACGCGGAACGCTCCCACGCGCAGCAATGGACGCTCTCGTCTTTCTCCTCCGCCCGACTCCCACGCATTGCCAACCCTCCGCGCCATTCCGACCCTCCTCCATCCCTCCGCCCTTGAAAGACCCGCCCCGCCGGCCTGCCGCCCCGCCGTCCGCGCCGTCTGCGACTTCCGCGCCATCCGGGGGTTCTTCCGGGAACTCCGCGCCAGCCCCGCATCCCGTTGCGGCGGAGAGGGGAGTGCGGCGGGGGGTGTACGAGGCGCTGTCGGCGCGCGAGAAGCGCAAGCTGCGCTCCGCGCTGTTCCCCCTTCGAGCGCGCGCGGCGGAGTCGGCGAGCGCGGTTGTGTGGCAGGCGAGCTGGGGGGTGGTGGCGCGCCTCGTTGCTGCGGAGTTGGTGAGCGCAGCCCACGTGCTCGCGCCTCCCCGCACTTCCCCCCCCCCCCCCCTTGCTCCCACCACTGTACCCCCATCTGTTGGCCCCCACATCCTTCCCCCCACTCTCTCACCCCACTACTTCTCCCGCACCTTTCTCTCGCCACCTGCCTTCGTCTCTCCCCCGCCTCTCTCTCTCTCCTCCCCACCCCACATTACTCCCCCACCTGTGTATCACACCACCCGCCTGCTGCCCCGCCATATCCTCTTGTTCAGCCCCTCCAGCACCGCACACCCGCCTCCCCTTCCTCTCCTCCCCTCCCCTCTTCCCCTCTCTCCCCCTTCCCCCCGGCCCACCCTTTTCCGTAACCCTCTCCGCCTCACTCCTTCCAGGGTGAACCACGGGAGGAAGGCGGGGGGGAAGGGGCAGGGCGGCGGCGCAGAGGAGGGGGTTGTGATGCGGAACACAGAAAAGGGGAGAGGCAAGGCGATGAGTGGAAGAACAGAGGAAGGTGTTATGTGTGGTGGAGGTGTTATCTGAGGTGTGTGGTGAGGGCGGGGAGGGGCGCAGTGGGGGGCGGGGGAGGTGGAGGAGCTGGTGTGGGCGCCGTTCGTGAAGACCCACCAGGCTGTGCTCTCCCCAGAGCACTGGAGCACCTTCGTCCCTCTGCTGCTCAAACTGGTACCACTTGTGCTGCTGTGGTAGGTGTGTATCTGCTGGTAGACTGTGACGCGGGCACGAGTTGGCAATGCGTCAGTCAGTAACCTGCCGATTCAATGCGCGCGGCTATTCCATTCCAAGCAAACCACACGCCGCCTTTCTCATCCACGTGGCCACCCCTGCCATCAGGTGGCCAGGCACGGAGCGTGGTGTGGTGTTGGGCGCGCGCAGCAGCAGCAACGGGCGGGTGTGAAGAAACACGACGCACTGGCTGCTGCACTGCGCTGTCTTCGCTGCCCACGCCGCCGTCAGGGAGAGGGCGCTTGGGGCTGCTGCTCCTCATCGCCGTAACGTACGCCCTCCCGCCCTCCTGCCCTCCCCTCCTCCTGCCCTCCCCACCTCCTGCCCTCCCCCCCTCCTGCCCTCCACCCCTCCTGCCCTCCCCCCCCCTGCCCTCCGCCCTCCGCCCTCCTGCCCTCCTGCCCTCCCCCCTGCCGCCTGCCTGCCCACCTGCCCCGTCTGGCTCCTGCCTGCCCTTCTCTGCCTCTCTCCCTCCTTCCTTCCCCTCCGTCCCTACGCAAATCTGCACCACCACCACTATGTGCACACACCGGCACGGTATATCATATCATAGCCCTCCGCCTGTTCCCTCCCCCATCTGCCCACTGCTCACTAGCGCCATCTCCCACCTCCCCCCCTCCCCCATGTGCCCACCCCCGTTGCAGGACTCAGTGAGGGAGAATGGCACAGTCGCTGCCATCACCGTCTCTCTCACTCTCTCCTCCATCGACCTCCTCACTCGCCCCTGCACTCCTGTCTACCCGCACCACTCCCCCTCCTCTATCCTTCCCCTCTCGCCCCCTTCCCCAACTCCCCCACCCCACACATCAAGCTACAGAGTCCACTCAACTCTCTCACCCCACTCACCCGGCTCACTCAGCTCTGAAGCCTCCTCCGGGATGGAAAGGAGGGGCGCACACAGCAGCAGCTGCTGCTGATGGTGCTTTTGCTCCTCACGGTGATTATCAGCAGCATCAGCAACAGCAGCAGAGGCATTGTCGGTCCTTCTCTCTTGCTTCTGACGCTCTCAGCAACACATCATTCTCCCCCTTACCCCTCCCCCTGGCTGCTGCTGCCGCTGCTGCTGCTGCCGCCGCCGCCGCCGCTGCTGCTGCTGCTGGCAATGCCTCTGCAACCGCTCACAATTCCCTCCAGCACCACAACAACAACAGCAGCAGCAACAGCGGCGCACAGCACACAGCACACGCACACACACGATCCCACAGCCATGGGGGCGGCCTGCTGCTACCCCCCCTCACATCAAACCCAGCGGCTGAGAGTGGGGCGTGTGAGAGCGGGTAGTGTGGGCGGCTGGGCTGACCTCACCGCCCACGCCCTGCCTGGGTCAAGCGAGCGGCACTGGCTTGATCCCGACGGGCACAGCCCGACCTCCGATGCCCGGCATGACCCTTCCACTGCTCGCAGCACTCACAGGGTCAAAGGGAGTGATTGGCAGCATGGGGGAGAGGGGAGCGCAGAGGGACGAGGAGGGGAAAGGGGAGGCAAGGCGGAGCAAGAGCAAGAGCAGCAGCAGTCGTCCCTGTGGCCTGCCTGCGATGATCCCTCCGGCCCTCTAGCCTGCGTGGCCCTCGCTGCCTCTCACCCCCTCCGCCCTGCTTCTGGTGTCTCCTCATTCGCCCCCTCCTGGGACCCCTCCTCTCTGCCTTTCTCCTCCCCACCCTCTTTGAGATCTGCACACGCTGCTGCCTGCCCACCTGCCGTGGCGTCTGCGCCTGCCGCACTACCACCTGCGGCCCTGCAGCTTGGCTCGCCAGAGGTCTTGGATCCGGCCGGTATAGGTCCGGCACGGCTGCCTGTAGACGAGCCCAGGACAGGTCCGGGGAGACCCGGGAGGTTCGGCAGACGAGGAACGGAAGCGTGTGGGGAAGGAGGGTTTGACAGTTGGGGAAGGGCATAGTAGAGGAGGGGATGGAGGAGGAGGATATGAGTGAGAAGTCTTGCAATGATGAGCAGGAGGGTAAGCTTATGAGGAGAGGCGGAGAAGGAGGTGAAGGAGGAGAAGCAGCTGAAGGAGGAGCAGAAAGGTGGAGCGAGCAGAGTGAGTGGGACAGGGAGCACGAGGAGCGGTTCAGAGCGGTGCTGAGGATGGTGGGGTCGGGCACGCAGGGCAGGAGGGCGCTGGCGGCGGCAGGGCTGGGCGAGCAGGTGCTGGCAGACCTGGCGAGGCGGTGGCGGTGGGGCGAGGTCAAGGCGCTCAGTGCTGTGCTGCGCCATGCCGTCACTGCATGGCAGGAGCATGCTCACATGGTGAGTGGCAGGAGCATGCTCACATGGTGAGTGGCAGGAGCATGCTCACATGGTGAGTGGCAGGAGCTTGCTATCTGTAGTGCGCCTGTGCCTGCTCTCCGTCCCTCACCCCCCACCTGCATGTCGCCTGCCACACCTCGCCTCTGCTCCGTCTACCCCTCAGCCCAAGTTGCAAATGCTGCCGTGTTGATTCACGCTCCACTTTCCGCCGCGCTCCCATGCGCCCCCCTTGGCTCTGTCTCCATCGCACGCCAAGTCGCCACTGCAGGACCACCAGGCAGCGCTGGAGGGCTGCTGCCTGCACTTCCCCACGGCGCTGCTGCCTGCACTTCCCCACGGCGCTGCTGCCTGCACTTCCCCACGGCGCTGCTGCCTGCACTTCCCCACGGCGCTGCTGCCTGCACTTCCCCACGGCGCTGCTGCCTGCACTTCCCCACGGCGCTGCTGCCTGCACTTCCCCACGGCGCTGCTGCCTGCACTTCCCCACGGCGCTGCTGCCTGCACTTCCCCACGGCGCTGCTGCCTGCACTTCCCCACGGCGCTGCTGCCTGCACTTCCCCACGGCGCTGCTGCCTGCACTTCCCCACGGCGCTGCTGCCTGCACTTCCCCACGGCGCTGCTGCCTGCACTTCCCCACGGCGCTGCTGCCTGCACTTCCCCACGCACAGCACTGCGTGTGGCCCCCCTCCCGTGGCTCTCCTGCACGGCGCCGCTGCCTGCTCTCCCTTGGCTCTATCTCTTCTCACCCAAGTTCCCAGTGGTGCTCCCACCCACTCACCCCCGTCCCGGGCAGGCGCAGTCACCGGTGGTGGACAGGCAGGCGGTGGTGGAGGGGTAGCAGCAGTGCGCCACTGCGTGCTCGCACGTGCCCGACCTGCATGTGCTGTGCCTGCTGCGCCTTGCCCTCGCCCACAGCCACCTGGACCCCCTGGGGGGCGCGGCGGAGGCGGGGCAGTGCTGCGTGGCCGCTGCTGCTGTGGCTCTGCAGTACCTGCTCGCCCTCCGCCCGCACCCGCACCCGCACCCGCCCCCGCCCCCGCCCCGAGATCACTGCAGCACACACCTTGCCCCTGGTGATGCTGGTGCCCGCACTGCCACCACAAGCACCGCCGCCACCACCACCACCGCGAGCAGCAGTAGCAGAAGCATGATGGGTGCAGAGAGGGGAGGCAATGAAGCGGGCGACGACGCGATGGTGGCGGCGGGGTGGTTCTCTCGCGGGGGAGGGCAGCGCGGCAGCGAGGGGGTGTGGGAGTGGGGGCAGCACCACGTGGCGGCGCTGGCTCTGGTGTGCCCCGACCTGCCCCTGCTCGCCCCGGGGCTGCTCCGCGCCGCCTCCAACCGAGGCACCGTGAGGAGCAAGAGGCGCAGCAAGGGGGCCAGAAGAGAGGTGGCGACAGCGGTGGCGGTGGAGGGCAGGAGGAGAGGGTGCTGGTGGCGGGGCGAGTGGCAGGGTACCTGCACGTCAACCCGCTCTTCATTGCCTCGCTCCTCGAGGAAGCTTCCTCTCTCTTCGCCTCGGCTGGTCTGCATTCCTTCGCCGTCCACCTGCAGGAGCTGCTGCTGCCTTTCTGGAAAGCGCATGGAAACTTCTCTGCAGCTTCCCGCTGCCACCGGCGCTTAGCCGCCTCATATCTGCTGCTGACTCAGAGGCCTGGAGGGGGCGGGGAGGAGGGGGTGAGGGAGGGTGGGCCCCAGCAGTGGCATGAGTCGTGCGTGCAGGGTGCGAGCTTCTTCCTGGTGGCCTTCTATGGCGAGCGGTTTGGGCCCGCGTTCAACGGACGGCAGTTCGTTTACAAGGAGCCACGGTGGGTGGGGTGGGGGCACGGCACATCGTGCTGTGCTGTGCTGTGCTGTGCTGGGTGTGTGTGCAGAGCGTGGTGGTGGGCAAGGCAGGATGTGCTGGTGGGAAGCTCAAGGGTCGTGCCATTTGCATTCAACTGTCAATACAGTTCCGACAGTCACTATGCTCCATGGTCCACGCTGAACCCGCTTTTCTTCCTCCATCCCTCCACTCCTCCCGCATCTCCCTCCACCCGTCCCTCTCCCCCCCCAGAGGCACGTCAGCAGGGGAGCTGGTGAGGCGGCTGAGGAGCATCTACGACGGCATCCTGGGCAGCAGCACGTCGCTGCGCATCATCACCTCGCCCATACTCACACCCAACCACCTGCGCCACTCGCAGCTGTGCACCGTGCAGGTCGTGCCGGTCTACCCCGCCCAGTTGACCCTCCCCCGGGGCTGCCTGAGGGGGAGGAGGGGCTGAGGGCGGGCAAGGAGGGCGCTATGAGGGGCGACCTGGACGAGCTGTTTGGCGGCAGCGGCGGCGGCAGAGGGCCTGTGAGCGCGTTCCAGGTCAGCATGCCGCCCTCCGCGCTCGCTGCTGCTGCTGCCGCTGCCATTGAGGGGCTGGTGGACGGCGGAGGCGAGGGGGGAGTGGGAGGTGGTGCAGGGGGAGAGGACGTGATGGGACTGCTGGAGCTGGGGTACGGGGGCGCTGGGGGGATGGGCTATGGCATGGGCAGCGGTGGTACGGGGGATGCTTCCTGCGAGATTGCGAGTGATTTCACGAGTGGAAGTGCGTTGGGGCGGGGAGCGGTGTTCCCTGTGTGGCGGCACCGCATGGTGCTGACGGTGCATCCGCGCTTCCCCTCGCTGCAGCTGCACTTGCCAGTGGTGGGCACCCACACGGTGGAGGCATCCCCCCTGGACCTCGTCCTCGACGAGAGCCGCCAGTGGACCAGACGCCTCTCACAGCTCGTTGCCACGTGGCGCGCTAAGACTGGCCGGAGCTTGGAGGAGGATGGGACGAAGACGGGGGATGGTGGGAGGAGGAGTGAGAGTGGTGTGCAGGGGTACGACTTGGATGAGGATGATGTGCTGTGGGGCATGGGGGGGCGGGGGAGGCGGGGCAGGCGAGGTGGGAGTGGGGGGAGGGGGGAAGGGTGGGGGCAGTGGCGTGTGCTGCTGCAGGTGGCGGCGGCCAGCCTGGATGCCATGGACGAGGTGCAGGCGCTGCCGCTGCTGCGCTCCCTCAAGGAACGCCCTGCTGGGGGGGGGGAGGGAGGAGGGGCGGAGTGGTAGGAAGAGGAGAAGGGGCAGGAGAGATTGGGGGGGCAGTCGAGGCAGGAGAGACGAGGGCAGGCACAGGAACAGGGGACGACACAGGAGCAGGGGGTCGCGGAGAGGCGGGACGTGCAGGCGAGGGGAGGAGGGGCGGGTCGCGATGGGCGGAGGGGCTGGCGAGCTGGCATGTGGCGCGGGCCATGGGGGAGGTGGTGGAAGCGGCAGAGGCGGCACGGGAGGGCGTGGAGGGCGTGGGGAAGCCGATGGCGCCGCTGCTGGCGTGGCTGGAAGACGCTGCTGACGCCACCCCGCCTGAGACCCTCGCTGCCCTCGCCCGCTACGGACTGCTGGATGGGGGGAATGGAGGGGATGCGATGAGGGGAGGCGCGGGAGTGTGGGATGCGCGAGGAGAGAAGGGTGAGGATGAAGGATTGTCTGCTGCTGCTGCTGCTGCTGCTGTGGCTGGTTCAGGTGGTGCTGCTGATGGCGATGCCACTCCCTGCGGCGCTCATCCCACACCCAGAGAGGTGGCCCGAGAGAGGGAGCAGCGCGAGGCAGAGCGGGAGATTGCGGCAGTGGCAGCGCTGGCAGCGGCGGCAGCAGCGGGAGGGGAGGAGGCGGTGCGGGTGGGCAAGGCGCTGACGGACTACGTGGAGGCGCTGAGTGCCGTGGTGCAGGCGCATGAGCGGAGATGGGGGGGGGACGACGACGCACACGAGGAGGTGAAGGCGCGCGCCAAGGGCATGATGGAGGAGCTGTACCTCTACGTGCCTGGCATCCGGCCCTGGTCCCTCGTGTGACGGGCGGTCGTGGAAACAGTCGATGGAGGAGCTGTGTCGGGGGAAACGAAAAGAACGCGTCGACAAACGTCGTTAAAGGATGAAGGGAAAGGCGGTCGCCTGCCGGACGAGCTCCGTGTGCCGGACGAGCTCCGTGTGCTAGACGAGCTCCGTGTGCTGCTGCTCGCCCGAGTGAACTAACACTGCGATCGCTGCAGCATGCTCTCTCCTGCTTGCGCCTCCGCCGCCTCTCCCGCCGCATGCCCAACTCGCTCAGCCTCCTATAAGTATCGCAATGTGCGTCAATGTCTCAACGATTTCAACGATTTTTCGAGGGTATTTAATCACGTCACATCACTGAGCGTGGAAGTGAGCTGCTGGCGAGTGTTGGTGCGAGCTGCCCGAAGCTGGATGATTTGAAGCTTGTCGCGAAATGGGGGGAGTTCTTTATGAACGCCGCTGTGTGGGCAAAGCTCGCCAAGCAATGCACGTGAGCTTGGATCTCTCCCTACCTCTTCCTCCTTCCCCTTCCTTCCATACTTTCTTTCCATATTTCTCCTCCTTTTCCGTCCGTCTCCTATCAGACTCTTGATCCCCTGTCAGCTCGACTCCCCGTTTGCCCGTCAACATCCTCTAAGATGACGCCCCACTCCCTCCTGTTCACGCCCCACTCCCTCCTGTTGACGCCCCACTCCCTCCTGTTCACGCCCCACTCCCTCCTGTTGACGCCCCACTCCCTCCTGTTGACGCCCCACTCCCTCCTGTTCACGCCCCACTCCCTCCTGTTCACGCCCCACTCCCTCCTGTTCACGCCCCACTCCCTCCTGTTCACGCCCCACTCCCTCCTGTTGACGCCTTCCCTGCTCTGCGCTTCGACACATTTTTTTCCCTCAATGTCCTCTGTTACGGTTTTCTCCTGTTACTACTCCCATCTTCCCTCCTTCTGCTTTAACCCTGCCCCTTTTTCCCTCCCCATTTTTCCTCCCGTTTCTTCTTTTCCCGTCCCTTTTTCTTTCCTCCATCCCATTTCCTCACATTCCCTCCCATTTCCCTCCCGTCCCCTCCAATCCCCTCCCATCCCCTCCCATCCCCTCCCATGTCCTCCCATCCCCCCCCGTCCCCTTCCATCCCTCCCATTCCTCCCATACCTCATTACCTCCCATTCCCTCCCATTCCCTCCCATCCCTCCCATCCCCATTCCCCCCTATCAGGCTCTTGACATCTCTCGAGCTCGACTCCCCCTTTTCCCGTCGCCGCATCATCTACCGAACCTCCACTCACACCCCCCTCCCTCCCATCGACGCCTTCCCCGCTCTTCGCTCCTTCTCTCTCCTCATCCCTGCCTCGAAGCAAAACCCCCTCACGCGCTGCTCCTCCCTCACTCTCTGGAACCCCCCTCCCTCCACCCTCTCCTCCCTCGCCTCCTCCTCCTCCCCCTCCTCCTCCTCCTCCTCCTCCTCCTCCTCCTCCTCCTCCTCTCCTCCTCCTCCTCCTCCTCCTCCTCCTCCTCCTCCTCCTCCTCCTCCTCCTCCTCCTCCTCCTCCTCCTCCTCTGTCCGCCACTCCCTCAAGTCGCTCACCCTCCACTCCACCAACCTCGAGTCCTGCCTCGCACCCCTCGCGTCCGTCCCTCGCCTCGCCTCCCTCACCTTCCTCGCCTGCACCATCGACCCCTTTGACCTGCACGCCCTCTCTCGCTCCCTCCACAGGCTCACGCACCTCGCCCTGCACGACTGCCCCTGGATCTCCAGCCACGCCCTCTTAGCGCTGGTCCAAGCCAACCCGGCGCTCGCCTGCCTCGCCCGCCACGGCACCACCTACCGCCTCTTCACCGCCCCGCCCTTGCGCTCTCCTCCGCCTCTCCTCGCCCCGCCCTTGCGCTCTCCTCCGCCTCTCCTCGCCCCGCCTGCACGCGCTCGACCTCTCACGGCTGCCGTCCTTCCGCCCCGGCATGCTGGCGCACTGCAGTGCCTTGCACTCCCTCTCGCTGAAAGGAATGCCGGAGACACTTGCAGCACTGGGTGGGGGGGATGCTGAGACTCGGAGAGGAGAAGGGAGTGGAGGAGGAGAGAGGGACGGAGAGGGGGAGGGGGAGGGGAGCATGGTGCTTCAACAGGTGTCGTTGGAGAGCCTTGCTGGTGGAGGTGGTGCAGAGCGGAGGAGAGGTTGGGGAGGCTGGAGGGGAGGAAGGAGGGGAGGTTGGGGAGGGGGGTATAGGGGAGGACGGTGAAGTAGCAGAGGTCAACGGGGGAGAGAGAGAGAGTGAAACCACAACTATTGCTGCAGCAGGAATGGCGCCAGGAGCAGTTAGCTGTAGAAACGGAGAAGGGAGAGTGTATGTGGACATTCGAGCGGCGGCAGCAGCAGCCCGAGCGGACCTGATGTGGGCAAGCCAGGACGTGGTCACTCTCTTTGGAACGGCCAGGGATGCCTTCACACACGTGCGTGCTGCTGCTCGCTGGGCGCGCATGGCGCATGCACAGGGCCACAATGCACTGCCCGAGAAAAACGCGGCAGCAGCGCGGGAGGATGCGCTGAGTGAGGCGCCTGCTGCTGCCACGACTGCCGGCGTGATTGTGGACGCGCGGAGCAGGGTAGGCGAGGGCGAAGGTGGGTTGGCTCGTGTTGAGGACTTGCTTGCTCACACTGCTCAAGCTGCTGATGCTGCTGAAGCGAGTGAGGATGAGAGTGAGGGTGGGGGGTCTGTTGCTGGAGTTGACCCGCAGGTACAGGCGCTGGGTGTGATGGAGTCGCTGGGTGTGATGGAGGCGCTGCTGCAGGCATTCTACGAGCAGAGCGGTGCAGATACTGAGAGCCTCAGGAACATGCACATGCCACGTACGGCTGCGGATGCTGATACTGATGCTGTTGATGCTGTTGCTCCCGCTGTTGATACTGATGCTGCTGATGGTGCCGGTACTGTGGGCGTTGTGGCGGTTGGTGGAGAGAGCGCCACAGCCACAGGACCAGCAGCAGCAGGTGGGGCAGCAAATGGGGCAGTGGTGATCGGTGATGCAAGCCACAACAATGGAGCAAGGGGGAGGAAGAATATCAATGCAACAAGGAAGAGGGATGCAAGGGAATAGGTTTTCAAGGGAGGGGGACAGTCGGGCCGCAGAAGCAACAATGGCAGAAGGAACTTGAAGGGCAGCCTAAGAACAGTGGGCCGTGGCAGGAGGGCATGAAGCATGGGAGGCAAATCGAGAGGCATCCCTGAGCTTTCTGTGGGGGTGGTCAGCCCTCACTTACACTTTTTGACCCTTGAGGCCTTTCACTACACCCGCACCACGCCCGAGCCTACCTGGCTGCCTCCATCCCTTCCCTCTGAATCGCCTCTCATGTGCCTCCCCTCCCGCTCCACTTCTCGCTTCTCCGCCACTGTCATTCCAAGCCCAGGCTCTCAGCTGCAGTCCTTTGAATCCAATGCAGCTGATCGCCCACTGGTGTCTTGCTTCGGGCTGAGGGAGGAGCAGCTGGTTCTGCTGCTGCATGCTTGCCCCGCTCTGGTGGCTCTAAGGGCGTATTCCTGACTTTGTGTCAAGAACCAGTTGGTGTCAACCCATAACTATGGAGCGCACCTGATTGGCCAGTTGTACCTTTTAAACCAATCGCATGCGTTCCAAGATTCTAGGTTGACACAAACACAGCTTGACACGAGGTCCAGGAATACGCCCTAACTGTGGAGTGCAGTGAGACTTTTTGGACCGGGTGGTTGTGAAAAGCAGACTGTGGGTGCTAACGCATTTGACCATGCTTGAGTGCGATGCAGTCACAGGCGATGCATGAGTTAATTGTGGAAGCAAGGTAGGTTGGTGAAAGGGTTCGCAGAGAGTTGCTCCGTGCAGGCATGTCTTTGAGTCATGGATGACGATTGACGAGTGAACTGAAGATGTGCTGTGTAAATTCAATCAACTAATGTGTGTCCAAATGTGTTAGTGGTGAACAGATTCCAGTTTAGGGTTCATCAACTGATGTATGTCCGAAATGTTCTGGGTGACGCCTGATATTGTAAGAGTGGAGTGGGAGTGGAGTGGAGCATCTTGTGTGTTCATAGGCAGTACAGGTATACAAGCAGATTTGAAACAATTACCGCGAACAATAAGGCAGCTTTTACCGAGAGAAGGGGGTGTTCGTGGTTACACGTCGTGGTCACGACGAGAATTGGCGAAACACGTATTGATTAGTGAGTGGTATGTTCGTGTCGCGCGTCACGCTCCCCCCGATAGCTTGGGCTGCTCGGCGAAGACAAGCCCACGCTCTCGCCAAACAGGTGGCGTTCGCTCCACCCACCACACCAACCAAGCAAATTCTGGCGGAAATATTGCCCGTCGCCATTGGCCGAGCACGGATTGTGTGGATTCGGGTTTGGGGCAGACAGGGAGATTTCAGAGAGGCACGGAAAGGCACCCGGTTCGTGATTAGGCGCATCCCTCGCCCTTCGCCCTCCCAAGCTCAAACCCACAGACCCCATCGAGTTGAAAAGGGGCGTCAGTCGCACGAGCTGACCACAACACACAGCAGCAGTCAGCTTCATTCAGCCCAGGAATTTCAAACCGCAGCTTCGGTCTCGAGAGTTTCATACGTCCGAAATGGCTGCTCTCGCCAACGCCGCTGTGCTCCCCTCCACCTTCGTCGGCCAGAGCGCTGAGCTCGCCGCCAAGGTGAACAATGTCGAGGCCCGCGTGACGATGAGGAAGACCGCCAAGGCGGCTTCCAGCAGCGCCTTCTACGGCCCCGACCGCAACCTGTTCCTGGGCCCCTTCACCTCCCCCCCCTCGTACCTCACCGGCGAGTACCCCGGTGACTACGGCTGGGACACGGCGGGTCTGTCCGCTGACCCTGAGACGTTCGCCAAGAACCGCGAGCTCGAGGTAGGCAACCGCAGTTTGAACAGCTCACTTTAATCACGTGTCCCGAGTGCGAAAAGGCAACCATTTCAGCTTGATCTCATCACTTAAACCACTTTTCCAGCGTGCGAAAAGGCAATCGCTTCGGAAATGAGCAAAACAAGTGTTGATCCAGCTTGAGGTTGCGAACTTCCCAGATTTTCAATGTCTCATGTCCTGACCATCCCTTTCGTTTCGCCTTGGCTCCGCTCCATCATCCATCAGGTCATCCACGCGCGATGGGCTCTGCTCGGCGCGCTGGGCTGCCTGACCCCCGAGCTGCTCGCCAACAACGGCGTCAACTTCGGCGAGGCGGTGTGGTTCAAGGCGGGCGCGCAGATCTTCTCCGAGGGTGGCCTTGACTACCTGGGCAACCCCAGCCTGATCCACGCGCAGTCCATCCTGGCCATCTGGGCCACGCAGGTCATCCTCATGGGCGCCGTCGAGAGCTACCGCGTGGGAGGCCTTGAGGGCTTCCAGGAGGTGGATGACCCGCTGTACCCCGGCGGTGCGTTCGACCCGCTGGGTCTGGCCGACGACCCCGACGCGCTTGCTGAGCTCAAGGTGAAGGAGCTCAAGAACGGACGCCTTGCCATGGTGTCCATGTTCGGGTTCTTCGTCCAGGCCATCGTCACCGGCAAGGGCCCCCTGGAGAACCTGTCGGATCACCTCGCTGACCCCACCGTCAACAACGCCTGGGCCTATGCCACCAACTTCACCCCCGGTGCTTAGATTCGGGTTTTTTCTGCCTGTACATTATGTTAAATTATGAATCTATATAATTCGTTTTCATTCGCAGTTTTTGGGCCCAGTGTTTCTTGTAATGTCCAATGTCACCACAAAACATGCGTGTGCTGGATACGTCCTTAGTTGCGCGCATGAATGGTTTGTGTTGAAGCGTTTTGCAACAGAAGCAGAGAATCTAATGTTATAGTTTTGTTTTTGCCTGGTCGCTATGCCCCAAAGAATTCCGTGCTAGATTTTGTCTACCATCTGCAAAGGTGTTCGACAAACATGTATTGTGTGATCGCCTTGTATCGCAGTTTCTTATGCCAACACTTTTGACCGTGCATTGGCGAGAAGAAGCCAGTTCGCAGACCTCTTTCGCACAGCATCGACTCTTGACCGTGTGTTGACAAAGCGCAGCTAACTTGAATGGCGGGGATTTTTGATCCAGTCACAGCCAGATTCGACCTTTGGCGAGGAGGATTTTTGGGTTGCGAAGCAACCTATTGCAATCGACCTAAAGGAAAAAAAAAAATTTCCAACTTTTTTGTTATTTGTTTATTACATAAAGAAAATAACTAAAGAATGTTTCATATTATATGGAAAGAATATAAAATAACTAAAAACCTGATAATCTTTTCATAACGGTCATACAGTATAGGTCATTATTTCTTCAAAGAACAAATAATGAATCTAATCAATTAATTTAATACTATTTTTAGCCTCGTATTAATGCACCGTAAGCTCACCTCACCTTCAACATAATACATTGGAATCCGTTAACAATATTTACATACTGAAAATCTTGATTATTGCAATTTTAGAAAAAAGAAAATCCATTAAAGAAACAATACTGATAGCTATAATGGTCGTGTAAAACGATCATTACAGAAGTGTATTGTTGAATTTGAAAGTGAAATACGATATTGAAATATATTCATCGAGAAAATCGGTGAACATATTGTCATGGTTTTTAAAATTAGCAGTTTATGTAACGTTTGCCGTTTTCAAAGCGTATACTACCGTTTCCCCAGCCTAGCGTGGGGGGGAAACTGAGTAGTATAGACGTTGGGAGATAACATAAGCAATACAATCTGCGAATCTCAAAGACATGACTACGTCGATCAAGTCCAGTTCAAAATGGCTTCACTGTCATAGTGGTACACCACTGAACCTTGTGTGACGATGATCGGCAAGTCATCTCTTTGTGACGCGCAGACATGCATTACTAACGCAACCATAAGCACCACATGAAAAAGCATTATTATGAGAAGTCATGCTAGCAATTAAATATATGTTTCTAGAAGAATAGTATTAAGCACGCGTATGCTTAAAGAAACGTTGTTGTAGAAGATGTCATCTTGCAAAACCTGCAAGTTAAAAAAGGCGTGAATAACATAAACAGTACGCATACGAAGATGTGATATTAAGGCGCTGAATATAACGAAAAGGGAAAAAAAAAAAAGAGAGAATACATGCAATACAAACAAATGAAGCGGAACGTGAAGGAAGTTGAACTTAGTGAACGATAAAAACTAAGGTGTAGTTCTTACATCAATATCATTAACATTCTACTCAATGACCTGCAGGCAACAATGCATATTGATAAAAGAATCAAACGGTTGGAAATCAATGGGTCAGATCCAGATAAAGTACGGTAGTCTTTAAATTTGAAGAATGACATCAATATTATACTTAAAATGTAGTTGCACACTTCATATCAAATACTTACATCAAAAGATCTCTTAGAAGAAGAGCAGGGTGTGGGCATGCTTGAAGCATCCAAGCCTGAAGGTGCTCGAATGCTCATGATATCTGCAATGCTCTTAATTATCCGCAATCCCTCATAGCGGAAATGTATCTGCCCCACACATAAAAGAATAGAAAAGAATAAAAGAGGGAAACAACAGAAAAAAAGCAATAAGAAGGCAGAGGAAACAAGCCCAGTGTCATGTTAGTCTCGGTGGAAACGCATCAATATGGTATGTAACATGCAAATCAAGTATGAATGCATGAAAGGTGGGTCATTTTTTGGATTAAAAACTCACCTTCACACGCCAAACACCATACAATGCATGCAATAAACGCCTTCGCTTGTCGTCAGAGGATGAAAGGAAATCGGCAATCTGAAAATTTGGAATCATCTTCGCCATAAGCCTCGGCTCCAATACCATGTTGCGGGATCGGCTCTTGAAGGCTCCTAAAGAAACAACGACAAAGAAAAATTGTCACAAGATCATGCCATTGGTGTATTGTTGGACATAGTCGAATAATGTTGTAGTATAACAATATCTTAAGAACTCACCACTCTCGGTCACAGCAAGAGTGATGGTGACATTGTCGTTCTTGGAGATTGAAGCAGTTCCGTGCTTCACACACTCATCCAAATCTGTGACCATCGATGTGTAGATAGGCATGCCACAAATCGCATCTCCACACTTCACGGTACACATTGTGCGACTGTTGTGTCGTGGGTCTTGGATTTCCGCGTCAAACGAAGCAATTTTCTCCCTTTTTGTGGTGTGAACGAGTACGTCGACATGAGTCATCCTGGACGCAAAATGATATAATATTATAGGAAACATGTAAACACGAAAAGAAACGCTAATTGTGGTCACGTTTATCAGAATCACTAGGCAAGAATGAATGAACTAACAGAAGTTTGGGTACAAATATGAAACCCTAGTTGGGGCTGTACCCCATATTGGCTACCCCACTACAGCCTACAAGCATAATACAGTTTAACACACCCCCATAGGCAAAGTGGGGGAGAACAAAGGGTCACAAGACCAGTCCAGCAAAGCAAAGCAAAGCCCAGGGTGGATCACAACGTCACCACACTCCGAGCACAAGTAAAGGCCACAAGGCCAGTTCACATGCAGTGCTAGATATAGTACAAGACAAGCAACACAGTGATCAAAACCTAGCAAGCAAGCAACAAGATATATATAAAGTACAGTACAAAGAATGTCAAGCAGTGAGCAAGTGAGGAAACGTGGACACAAGGCCTAAAGAAGTACAGTGCCGCTGATGATCACTAGGCGGGAGCGCCTTGGTGAAGATATCAGCAGTGTTGGCCTTCGAGTCCACGTACACAAGCCGAAGCTGACCGCGCTGCTGAAGCTCTCGAGCAAGAAAGTAGCGAAGAGCAATGTGCTTCGTCCTGTGCTCCAGTCTGTGCTCCTGACACAAGGCAAGAGCCGCCTTGTTGTCACCGTACAGAACTGGAGGAGAACTAGGCCGCTCTCCCAAGTCAGTCAGCAGGTAGGTGAGCCAGCGTAACTCCTGTGCAGCCATGGCTGTGGCGTAGATCTCAGCCTCACAACTAGAGCCGAGAACAGAGGAAGAGCGGGTGGACCGCCACGAGACAGAACCTGAGCCAAGGCTGAAGGTGTAACCCTGTGACGACCGCTGCGTAGCCAGGTCGTCCACCCAAGAGGCGTCCGAGTGACCAGTGAGGACAACTCTGTCGCGTCCTCCAAGCACCAGCCCCATGCCTGATGTACTGCACAGGTAACACAGCACCCTCTTAGCAGCCTCCCAGTGCTCTCGCCTGTGTCTCCCAGGCGCAACGTAACGAGCAAGGATGCTAAGAGGGTACGCGAGGTCAGGTCGCGTGCAAGTCATCAGGTACATGAGGCAGCCTACAAGCTCTGGGTACGGGCCACTCGGCTCTACGGACTCGTCCGAAGGTGGAGCTGAGAGCGAGTGGCTGGTAGCCAGAGGTGTGGCCTGTGGTGAGGAGAACTGGAAGCCGAAGCGCTGAAGGACCTGCTGCACCATGTGTGACTGAGTCAGGGTGATGGTGCGGCGAGCTCTGTCCCGGGTGATCTGCAAGCCAAGGTAGCTACGCAGTTCACCCAGGTCAGTGCAGGTGTGTCTCTTCTGCAGCTCCGACTTCACACGAGCGAGTGCCTCAGTGTCAGCAGTAGCAAAGACCAAGTCGTCGACGTACACGAGGATGTAGAACGGCGGCAGCGACATGTCTGTGCGCAGAAACAGCGACGGGTCAGCAGTAGACGGCGCGAACCCAAGAGCCGCAAGAGTAGTCCTCAGTGTGTCGTGCCACTCACGTGGCGCCTGACGGAGACCGTAGACTGGCCGGCGGAGACTCCACTGGGTACCAGGGGGAAACGACCCAGTAAAGCCAGGTGGGCGGCGCAGCCAGATCTCCTCGTGTAGGCTGCCCTGTAGGAACGCTGTGCTGAAGTCAAGAGAGTGAAGCTCGTAGTCACGCTGAGCAGCAACGTGCAGCAGAACCCGAAGAGTGGTCATCTTCGGGGTGGGGGAGAAGGTCTGGAAGAAATCGACCCCCTGACGCTGACTGAAGCCTCTAGCAACGTAACGAGCCTTGAAGACAGGCGGAGAACCTGGCGGCCGCTTCACCCTGAAAATCCACATGCCATCGACGATGTTCGCCCCAGGAGGGGGAACCTCGTCGACGTAGGTGCCTGTGGACTTCCAGGATGCCATCTCTGCGTCCATGGCTGTCTGCCACTGAGAGGAGTAGGGACCCGAGATCGCCTCTGCGTAAGTGCGCGGAGTGGGGATGTCTACTGCATCCGGGTCTCCCTCAGGGGCAAGCAACCAGGCCACGAGATGAGGTACAGCAGCCGCAAGAGAGTCAAAGTCCTCCTGCCTGTCCTCAAGGACGTCCGTGCCAAGAGCACACTCACCCCCGACGGACGGAGGACAGACAGACGCAGACTCTGACTCAGCAACAAGGCTAGCGGCGTAGTCTAGACGACAGGCAGCAGCAAAGTCAACCAACTCAGCGACCAGAGCAGACGCAGCCGAGGACTCAAAGGTGGGGTCAGTGACAACAGTAGCAAGGAGACGCGTGACTGTAGGGTGCTCAGCGCGATACCGGTCAGACTCAGGGTCCGGAACGGCAGGCAAAGAGGACGCAGGAGGAGACGGTAGAGGGACACGCCGAGGAGCAGTAGAGGGACGCAGAGTCATGTAGTGAGTGCCTGGGACAGGAGGAGGACGCTCACGACGGACAC